TGCCCCCCCCCCCCCACCCCCAGGACTGCTGCAGATAAATACGCCCTCATTCACAAATACAGCTGTACACTTAAATTCTGTGTTTTCTGATCTCATCTAGAACCCCAGAGAAGTTTTGGCAAGCATGACTATTAGATACAATTAAAAGCTCAATTGTGATGCTTCTTTGTTGATTGCAAACAGCACTGTGATTGTGACGCATACCTACATTTGCAAAGAGTTCAAGTATTCTTGCATATTTTTAAAATACTCCATATTTGATAGTTGCTGAAAAGGAAAAGATACTGGGGAAAAACTACAGTAAGAATGCATCAAGACTTGTTTTAAATAACCAGAGAAAAATCACTTACAGTAATAGTTATATTTTATTTTCTCTTAGTTTCAATGTGCAGGATTTTCAGCATTTTTTTTTTTAAACTTAAACATACATCTAAAATTATATTCTTTCCTTTTCCTTTGAGTACAACTGCTTTTGGGGTTGGGGCTCCAAGCTTTTGCTCATCATTGCCCTCAAACTGTACAAGACAACACTACAGGGTGCGTTACCTTATCCTTCGTCAGGTTGATCCAACTTGATGGTATGCATACACAGACTGATGGGAATGATAAGCTCACACAAAATGCACATGACAAAAAGCAGCACATGCTTCACAAATGCTCTGCAGCATTTATACCCAGTTAATTTGAATACAGCTAAAACTGGACATACGATAGAAGCTCTCCTGGGTATGACTGTGGGATTCTCAAGATTTTCAATGGATACTTTAAGGTAGCATGCACAAAGAGTTCACCTGAAATCTCAGTATTAGGTAAAATTAGCATATTGTACTTTCCCAAAATTGTGCTACATTGCTTACTCTAGTTCTTACAGCAGCTTGCTTTCACTTTAAAATAATTAAACTACCTAAAAACTACCAAAGTACTTTGCTCTAACTTTCATCAGTTGTATCCTTATAACCAAAATTGTTTTAGAAGAGCAAAGCACCTACCATTGTCACTTAGTTGATTTCTACCTTTAGTAGAAAGTTTAGTCAGGATTGTACATGGAAAAAGTCTGCTTTATGCAATGTATGTACTTGAATCAGTTCCCCTTTTTCTCCCACCCCATCCCTTTCAACCACCGGGTAAGATCCTGAATGACCAAATTTAATTAAACTGCTTATTGCTATATTTATTGCTCATTATACCCTAAAATTTCTTTTATTTAGGAAGCATAAATGCTTAGCTGTGACAGCTCCACAAAGTCTTAAGACAAACCAGGTCTGCTGCTCTTGAAGAACTGTCTTCGCAGTGTTTTTGACACAACCTCCTTATCTGCTATATAAAGTTAACAGCCATTTAAAAAGGAGAATGGCAAGACAGAATGCTCTTAAGGCAAATCTACTAAATATCAACAAATCACTTTTAACCCAAAAGGTTCCACTTGTTCCCCACTTCGATCTAGATCTGTTCATTCATTACTCGCTGCTTTAGGAATGCTGCTGGTGGTTAAGAAACAAGCAGTGTCTTGGTGCTGAGAAGGCATTCCTACCAAAGCAAAAGTAGAATCATTTACTAGATGCTTTAGGCAAGAAACGACATCTGAGGATACACTTTAGAGAAGATTTAAAGAAACTCGCATTCAATTTCAACTGGCAAAGAGCATAAATAGTAAAGAAAATACTTTGCATCCTGCAAATAAGAACTGGTTTACAATGGGCTGTAGTTTCCAATTCCTCACTCTTGCACTCACTGCAAGGGAGGGGACATGCCAAAATGAAACACAATCAAACTTTATTTAATGGGCCAGTGGGTAGCTGGCCCAAAAACTATTTATAAAAAGTTGGCTAGCATACAGTGCTCTTAAAAGAGGGCCACATTATAGATTTAGTAAAGTAGGTTCTTTGACAACTGAATTGTAAATGAAGTTTTAAACACTAATCTGTCTTAAGTATGCTCCCAATCATGCCATACCTCTAATCCTGTAAGGTTGTAAAGAAGCCAGTTCCACTGCAAAGCACAGTGGAAAACTGTTTGCTTTGGTTAGCCAGGACACCAAATGCAAGTCTTAAGCCCAAACACATTTCTACCCTGTTCTCAATGAAAAACTGAACAGCCTGATTTTCAGAATTAGCTTTCTGTCTACAGCAAGTTAAAAAACACTCTGTGAAATAAAATTTTGCATTAAGTCAATCTCAAGGGACAAGTGATTTTTTTTTTTTTTTGCTTTAAATCCACATTGGTATTTCTTAGTGGCTATTGTTTTGCTGTTACTGTCCCCATTGCATAACTCTTGGCTCTTGTCACTAGAAGCAGGCAGGAGTGATTTTAAATATGATTTCACTCCAAAAGAAGTGAGGGTGGGGAAAGCATGTCTAGGAAGTAGACAGGAAAGTGTGCTGCAGGTGAAATGTTAGATTTGAAGCACTACTGGCATGTGTTTCCACACTAGGAAGACCCTTAAGTTACATTCCCTTCAGGTCACTGAGAATTTCCTAAGAGGAGGTGCCCTCCTTTAGACACTTAGAACACATTTCAGGAGGTATACTACGACAAATCTCCAAGAGAGGTTAAAACACATGGAGTTATTACTACCAGTGAATCTGTGTGAGGTTAGAACTGACTGCATCAGCTCTAAAGCTTGACTTGAAACAGGTAATGCAAATATTTGCTTGAAAGCCAGCAACAGGCATTTGAGGAAAGGGGGTCTGTCACATCTGATGTTTTTCATCCAACCATGCTGACCGCTTAATTCAATGTATTCCTTCACTGATTGAAGAGATTCTATGGCAAGTCCCAAATTGCTTTGGAAAGTTTCACAAAGGGTCTAGCTCCGGTTATCCCAAGGTAAAGTAACCAGCTATTCTGTGTTAAATCATGAGGAGCTCAAAATGATGAAGAATTTAACAGTTTGTAACACAACATATATTGTTATATGGTGAGAATATGACTAACCCGATGCTTAGAAAATATATTAAAATCTATTTTAAATTTTGGAAAATAGCTTACAAAAATATCTTCACTTAAACTATATATCGTACAAAAACTGACTGGTGTGTGGGTTTACAGTACAAAACAATCACTGGTGGTTACAAAAGGGAACAGTGATCTATACTACCCTTAATGAAAAACAGAGGGCATTATATCTCACTGCCTTGAATTTGTCTCTTACCAGAACTAAGATAATTTCCAATATAACTCAAAAACTTTCAAACAGCATCTATTTTCTTAAACCTTTTTCTGAACTCCTGTTCAGTTTCTTTTAAAAAATCACCACAGTGCTGTGGCCCAAGAAAGAAGAGTAATCCAACTAAAGGCAGAAATAATTGCTCTAGATAGTAAGATCTGTAGAGAGCTAAATGCAGCAACATCTACAGTTGTTTCTACTGCCCATACTATCAGTTTCCTCTATCGGTTTCTAAAAGTGACACCAGTGGACAATTCCTTTGTAATCAATTTATGGGCAGAAGCAACAATTTTTGGTCTAGATTGGAGTTAGTTTAAATACATGGGTTTAATAAATACAAATATACACATCTGTATACATTAAATGTCACATGTGTATAATTTCAACATATACATTATATACAGAAATACATACAGTACATGCTCCTCCTGACAACACTATCTCATTTTTCCAAGTGTCACCAAAAGGTGTGATAAGAAAATGAAGAGAGGTTAAATATAGGACGTGACCGAGAACCAAGGTATCATTTCTCTATAATTAAAGAATCATAACAAATACAACTAAAGACAAATGCTGCGCTAGATTCCCCTATGCAAAGCTTAGGAATCAATGGGGTTCCCCGGGTGGTAAAAGCTAAATCTGGCCCTGTGCAATGTCCTAAAATTCATGGATATTTGTACTGTGTTTGTGTCTAAAGCATTAAGTATACAACAGGTAATAAAAGAGGTTGTGTAATCTAACACCTTAGCCAGTCCCAAAGTAGACCACAGCAGCCTTCTGATTCTTAACTGCTAGCATAGTTTTTTCAAAATGAGAGTGGTTTGAATCCAGATGACTCCATGGTCTCAGTTAGGAAAGGTCAAATGGTTATTGACTACTGGGGAGCTTGCACCAGTTTGTGTCCTAAAATGCTGTGCAGCAAATAAGAGCAGTTTCTTAAGTATACAAAAGGCTGATCCAGAGTAACTAGTCCTCTCTTTTACTGTTATGTCTTGAAATAAAGGAATTCAAAAGAAGCTACAGTAAAGTAGATCATAAGAATGCCTCCTTAGTACAGTCTCTCAAGACAAATTAATCAACATATTCCAGTTTTAAAGCACTTTTTCTTAAAGTGAGATGCAAAACAAGATGTAATCTGTACATTAAGATGGATTTCCAAAAGGAACATGAATTCAAGCACAAGGAAAAAAAAGAGGACAATACAGATGTCAAGACATTCAGTAGCGTGGCTTCTGTTCATCTCAAATTACAGCACAGCTCATGCACCACACATCTTACAATTTTACACACTGTACATGATATAGAAATATTTAAGTTAAAATTTCTTTTACTGATATACTGTACTCAAATTTTAAATCCTGAGAAGAAAAAAAAAAGTGTGGTTACGTATGTGCACTATTATCTCCGATATCACCAACACATACACCACAGGATATCAGAAAGTCCAGAGAGGAATTACATGCTGTAAGTGTAACTCATGAAAGCCATCTTCCTCTTTTCCTTGTTTGGGAGAGTCATTAGGAAACAATTTCTATTCTGTACTGCACAACAGTATATACATGTACATAAAACTATGACATTTTCTAATGACCACAGCTTGCAATAACAGTCTTTCTGTCAGTTTCTTACCAGCTGCAACACAGTGGCTTCAGCTAAACATTAGGAAGAAGAGTAATGCCAGTTACCTTGACATTGTAGTACTTGCTCATATTTTACAGTTAGTAAACGTGTCTCAGGTTAGTCCCAAACACCACTTCAAAAACGACATATTTCTTTCCCCTCACAGGTGCCTGGTGTCAACAACAAGAACAACAACAACAAGAACTACACTAGACTTTTCAGGTGACTTCCAGTGCTGCAGAGCACTTGTCCACGCATTGCAGAAGTAAAACTGGCAGGTCCATATTTATCACAAATGCAACCCCAGATACTTTCTTGATCTTGCATTCCCCATAATTCATATCAGATTCTGACACTAGTCATGCAGTTCCATCACGCCAGAATGCTCAACATGCTGTGACCTTGTGGACATTTTGCAAACAAGTTAGTAGGCGATGATATGGGGTTCCTGGAGACGCTACCACCTCAAACACCGACTGAAAGGCCCTTCGATCTAATTCTTCATCTATCTGATGTCGGTAAAAGTCTATGGCCACCAAACAGAAGATGTTAACATCCACTTGCTCAGATTTTCCCATTCTGCTGATAACATGTGGAAGACTGAAATAGAAGTTAAGGTCCTATGATGACGGAAGTTGCTCATCTTTTGGTTAGCACTTTAAACACTGTTCTCCAATAAAATGGTGTGTTTTTGAGTTCACCAACGATGTTAAAGTGCAGAATACTGTCACATATCAACTAAACTGGTACTACAGAAATCCTATTTCTTCATTAACTTCACGCAATTTCTTATCCCCAGAAATTCATTTTAACCTAGCAGTAATTTTCTTTATCCACTGGAGCAAACAGTGCAATCAGCACCACAGTCACAACTGCTGATAGCTAAAGAGCATTGCTCAGATTAAGAGTCATTAGGAAGTTTCAAACATGATATATTGGCCACTTTTTGGCCCAGTCATGAAATGCAGTTATTTTTCTGTTTGTTTGGGGTTGGTTGTTTGTTTTTAAATAAACTCAGCACTGATACCACTTATGTCTTTTGGCTGTTCCAACTTATTTGGCTGATATCATTGCATTGCCAAAGCTCACTATTACTGCAGTGCACCTCCAGGGGGACACTTGCAAAATACAGTTTGTATGTAGAGGATAATTTTCTTTAATTTGAGTTTGGTTTTGGGGTTTGTTTGGTTGTTTTTTTTTTTTAATATATTTTATCTTGCAGAAGGAATATAGAACAAAGCTTTTAAAGGTCCCTGCAAAGCTATCTGGTGAAGCTTTTACAAAGTCCTTCAAAGTAAGGACTTTCCCAATCATCTTGCATAGTCACAAGGAACAGATCTTAAAACAGTAGTTTTAGGTAACTTCGTTCCCATAATCTGTTTAGAAGTTCTCTTTTTTCCCCTCAAACGTGAGGCACCAATAGCACAAAGGATATACACCACTACTAACTGCAGTAAATCTGCCTTTTTTGTGTGTTAAACTTGTACTCTTATCCTCCAAGGCTATCAATGTGCTTTACAGATTCACTATATTTACCCAGAAATGGCAAACATTCAGTCTTTTTAGGATACATTGCTGAAATCCATGGACTGGTAGAAGCACTGACAAAAAAACAGGAAAGACTCCACATTGCCATTGCCACAGGTGTTCTTTGTGTGAAATTAGAGAGAGACAGCATCACCCAGTCACGGACCATTGAGGACTGTCCAGTACTATGTAGCGTCTGGAATACCTGCAAAGAGTATTTTACACAGGAATAAAGACATGGTAGACGGACTTTAGTTTAGTTTCTCTTGCAAAGGTTCTCTCCAGCTACAAAGCTCAGGTTCACAAACCGGATTGCTGGAGACAACTCAGTGTAAAGAATTAATGAACACAATGCCTAGGCAAAGATTTTGCAAAAGAGTCAGCCAGGATCCAGCTGGACTCATGACATCTGTGCCAAGCTGAAGTAAGCACACAGAAATACAAGACTTGTCTGGTGTCTATTTTTATACATCAAATGTGGTGCGCACATGCACTCTCAAGTGATGCATGAGTCCAGTAAGTAGGTGCTGAAGAGCAAAATACCCAGAAGCCCAACTGAGTCCACAGGAGCTTGACTGTAGAGTTCACAAGGCCAGATGACCTGGGCTGGCTCCTTGAGATCTAAAGAGTCTAAGCACCAGGACCACAACTATTAATTTTCTCTTATTTTCCAATTATCAGTGATTGAACTGTACGGCTGCAAGCTTTGTCTTCCAGGCAACATGGTGATTCTAGCCCTCCGTGTTGCCCGGAAGACAAAGCTCACAGCAGTACAGCTCGATCACTGCAACTGGTTTGTTAGGTCTAACAAAATTGATATTTGCTCCCCTAATTGAGCTGTCAGTTATTTAGAAATCTTCCAAAACATTTAAGAAAAATAAAAATATAAACACTACCTTATAAACTACTGTTGCCATGAATTGTGGGTAAGGCTGCTGATTGGATAAAAATTCTCCAATAACTTTATTCATTATGTCTTGTGGGGGGAAAAAGTCATCAAGGAACTGTGGAAGGATCCGAGCCACTACTCTAGCTTCAAAAGGAAATCCCTTCCTGATCCTGAAAATAATAAAAAAAGAACATATTTTATGATTGAATTCCAGTAAATATCTCGTTCTTTTCCAATTTAATTGGCAATAGAAAGAACATTTTACTTTAATCTCTAGATAGACAAAAAAAGTCTTCAACACTGAGGAACCCAAGTCTTCATGTAATCTTACTCTAACATTCTACCCAAAGAGGTCTATCAAAGCTATTAGAAGTTGTTACAGGTGTTGTGTGCTCCCCCCCCCCTTTTTTTTAAATAGTCAACATTTTTTGAAGCTCTGGAATTGCATCAGAGACAAGATTTAACAATAGGAATGCTTAAAAACTAAACAAGAACAAAAAAGGACAGGGAGATCACTACTCCTAGTTGTCAGAGAAAAGACCACTTATAAGCAGAACACTCATTTCCACTTATAACATCTTTGCATTTTTTATTCAAGACCAGGATGACCAATACATCAAACAGAAAAAGCAAGTTGCACTGCACTGTGAAGAGGGGAAAAGATACTTCAACTTAAAGACAATTTTACTTAAATAACATTGATTGGAAAATCTTCCTGATAAAGGCTGCATCTGTTGATATGTCAGGATCAAGTTACCATTGTGTGATTACTCCCCCCAAAAGTTATTTTCTTCTCGTAATATTCACATTTGTTTTGCTAAGTCTTAGGAGTGATATTTTCAAAAGCACTCAAACACTGCTCTAGTTCTGTTCTCACTGAATGCAGAAGTGAAACCCTCATCCAGTTTTATGGAAAAACCACTGAACACTTTAAAAAATGTAAACCATTATCCCACAAACTACTATGCAAAATCTAACATGCTATGCTCACTTAAGACAGCTTGAGATTGTCAGATCAAAACAGGCGTTTTGAAATATTTTGTTAAATGAATTCCATGTGAATACAGAAGTTTTATTGTACCCTTCCACTGCAATTACTTAACAGCCTTGGAAAGAGCAACACTTGGGTAGGGGAAGAAAAAGGTTTTAAACTCTTAGGGTGGTTTGAAAGATTATTTCCTGTAAAGTGGATTTATATCCTCGATTATGCAGAAGACATCCTGAAAAGCACTTAAGAGTTTGACCTGAAGGGAGCTGGAAATACATTTATAAAAGTATTGTGGTTTGTACAACACACAGTATCAGTTAGGACATGTCTGTTTTCCATTTACATTCCTGTACATTTGTGCTGCCTTCAGCAATTCCATCAGTGTTACTGTGCATACTAGAAGTATCAGTTTTAAGCAGTGGTAAGCAGAGAAACATCATTAATTAAATATTAGAACTGTCAAATGGACAAGTGACCACACAGTGCCAGACAGAATCATTTCCCTCCCATGGCCCCATTACACATTTTATCCTCTTACCTATCAAAAAGGACAGACACTCGTTCCATAGCTACAATCACAGATTCACTGTCGGGAGCAGCAGGATTTGCATCTGTGGTACGACTGGGGCTGATTTTTTCCTTTCCTAAACCAAAATAATTTGTTACAAGTTTGCTGTGAATGCTAAAATAAGACCTTTTTATCCGTGGTAACAAAAATAATTTAGCACTGTTAATAAGTTAGTCTCTCAGCACATCAAAGGTATAAAAAAACCCCATAAATACCTGTGTACATGCAAGTCAGCATTAATCCAAGTGCTGCCATTGCTCTGTGGGGGCTCTGCACATTCACTCTGTCAACACTCAGTTTAACCAACGATTCACTATCCAGCCTAGACAGTTGCTCTGAAAGAAGGAGTCGTTCTAATCCTCTCAGGACACAATGATAAATAATGGATGGTGTTGATTCATCACTTCCAGACACCATGACACCACACATCTGACAAAGAAAAAAGCCAACTACCTGTTTTTAAGGTGTATTTAGGTCATCTTCTAGCACCATACCACTGCAGCTAGTATGGAACTGCATCAAGTATTAAGAAAACCTAATGAAACTAAACCCAAAAGCATACCTACACCACAATAATCAAGTTAAGCATTAAAGATAGCTATGTGGTGATCCCAGATTACATGACCACCTGTGATTGGAGGCATCACAACATACCTGTATAATTCCTGCAGAGAATTCAGGCCCTACATCAAGTGGGTAATTCTCGATCAAATAGAAAGCAGCTGCACACATGACCAAGATGTGCTGTTGGTTATGGATATTCACACAACTGTAAGTAAGCAAAAACACTAGTGATCACTTACATCAAAGTTGTCTAGGTCACAAATAGAGACAATATAAACAATCCTTAAAAACACTAAGTATTTTTTCACATGAAATTTATGCAATTAAAAAAAATCACACAAAGTATCACCAAGATGCCGTAAGAGAGCACTGGTTATCATGGAAATCCAGTGCAACACAAGAAATTTTTCAGCACTATAATTACAAGCTATCATTGCCTGACTTGTTTAGGAGAAATAAACTTCATTACTGATCCTGCAAGTCTTATTCAAAGAGTATGCCTTTTGACAGAAAAATAAGGTTTAGGGAACACAACTTACCAAAGAGACAAAAGACTGAGCTATCAAACAGTTTTCTCACCCTCAAATATCCTTTCGCTTCTGTAAATCAAACCTAAAATTGGCTGATATTTTCAATGAAAATACCAAAACCTGCTTGATACAACAGCCTGCTCTAAAACATACTGACAACAGCAAACCATAAAGAGCCCTCTTGTTCACACATAAGCATGCAACAGTTTGGGGGGTGGTGGTGGTGGTGGAGGGGGAAGAGTCTTACTGTGCTACTCCTCTCAAATTGGAGAGCAGATACTCGCTGATAATTGGAATGAGTTGCTTTGCTGTCTCATCAAGCAAGTCACACTCAAGGATATAAAGAATTCCATGCAGAGCTCCAATCCGACTTGGCATATGGGTGCTTCTTAGGGTTGATTCCAGCAGTCGACTTACTGGTTCAGCCACAGCTTTATCCTAATACACCCAATGAGAGTATTCATTAGAAGACAACACTGGTTCAATACTAGTGAATCCTGTAATTTGGAAATACTTGGAACAGATTAAAGAGCAGAAAATACGGCATGAACCAGAGCCTGGCTTAAAACTACTTCGAATGAAATGTCACAAGATTAATATAATCAGATAAGAGATGATTTGCAGATGAACTAGTAAACTGATGCTACTTTGTTTTACCTGTAAAAAGTTCTCATTGTTTAAAGCCAAAAAAACCAAGATAAGCATTAGTTCAGTAAATAATATGTGCTATTAAGAATCCTCTACATATAGGACTTGTACGGTTAGAATTTTCTGGCCTTCCAGCTAACCACAAAGGATCCTTCTGTCTGAAAAATGACTGGTAGATGCCTATAGTCTGCACCCAAGAGAATACTCTGCCATCCACTCAACTTAGTAAAGCATACCATTTGTTTGTTCTGAGACCACTGGCACTCAGACCTACAGATCTTTCTCTCCACCACTCCCATGATCTAGACGAAGGGATCGAGTGCACCCTCAGTAAGTTTGCAGCTGACACCAAGTTGGGCGGCAGTGTTGATCTGCTCGAGGGTAGGAAGGCTCTGCAGAGGGACCTGGACAGGCTGGATCGATGGGCCCAGGCCAACTGTATGAGATTCAACAAGACCAAGTGCCGGGTCCTGCACTTGGGCCACAACAACCCCATGCAGCGCTACAGGCTTGGGGAAGAGTGGCTGGAAAGCTGCCTGGCGGAAAAGGACCTGGGGCTGTTGGTCAACAGCTGGCTGAATATGAGCCGGCAGTGTGCCCAGGCGGCCAAGAAAGCGGCCAAGAAAGCCAATAGCATCCCACCTTATATCAGAAAATAGTGTGGCCAGCAGGAGTAGGGAAGTGATCGTGCCCCTGTACTCGGCACTGGTGAGGCCACACCTCGAATACTGTGTTCAGTTTTGGGCCCCTCACTACAAGAAGGACGTTGAGGTGTTGGAGCGTGTCCAGAGAAGGGCAACGAGGCTGGTGAGGGGTCTGGAGAACAAGTCTTATGAGGAGTGGCTGAGGGAACTGGGGTTGTTTAGCCTGGAGAAAAGGAGGCTGAGGGGAGACCTTATCGCGCTCTACAACTACCTGAAGGGAGGTTGTAGCGAGGTGGGTGTTGGGTCTCTTCTCCCAAGTAACAAGTGATAGGACAAGAGGAAACAGCCTAAAGTTGTACCAGGGGAGGTTTAGATTGGATATTGGGAAAAATTCTTTCACCGAAAGGGTTGTCAAGAATTGGAACAGGCTGCCCAGGGAAGTGGTTGAGTCACCATCCCTGGAGGTACTTAAAAGACCTGTAGGCGTGGTGCTTAGGGCCATAGTTTAGTGGTGTTAGGTTAACGGTTGGACTCAGTGATCTTAAGGGTCTTTTCCAGACTAAATCATAGAAGCATAATGATTCTATGATTCTATGTTTAGTCTTCAAACATCAAGCTGGGATCAGATACTTCACTCCCTGTTAAAGTACAACAACTTATTGGAATATGCAAAAATCTATTCTAAACTGTTAGATTTGAAAAGTCATTGTCTTACAATCTATTTTAAGTATTTAATAAAAATTATTTGTCTTACATTGTTCCTGTATTCATGAAGTATCTAAGATGCAGGCCAGTTTTACAGTGCGTGCTCTCTAGTTGCTCTTTTTAAGCGGATTTTCTACATAACTGAGCATAGGACAACAAGCAGCTCTTGATGGAATCAACTGTTTTCCTTCTGCTAACCTGTTCTATTGAGCTGTTTGCTTGTGAGGTGTTACTAGGTCACTGAGTGGGCAATTACAGCCTAGTCAGAATGAGCTGATCTCTAGAACTGCTTCTGCACGTGTGGCATCACTTTCACAGCCTTCCCTTGCACAGTTGCTGCTACAATAGTACTGGAAGCCCTACCCCAAAAGTCTTTCAAAACTTTTATCACCATTCCCCATATAGTTTTATATTAGTTTCATAGAGAGTTTCTAGAAATGCTAACTTCTTCCAAAAGAATTTGTAATTTTTTTTCCTAAGTAATCCCACTCTGAAATGTCCATTGGAAAATACTACCGCTCTCTGGTCTACAGATTTAAAGACAGCAACATATTTCATTAAATAAGGAAAGAACATTATCAATGCAAGTTAAGTGCAGAATGATGCAACGGAGGGAAGAGTGAGGGAAAGAAAAGGGATACCTGACTATCAAGCTACATATTCATCACATGCACTATCCCAGCCTCTCATGAGATTACAGACATTCACCTGTAACACAAATCTAGCAATAGCTGTTCCACAGTCCTCATTTCTGGCCTGAAATGTAACAAATGAGTCCAGGGCAAAGGTAACACTCAACTGAATAAGATAAATCAAAAAGCACATTAAAATTAAGCTCAAACCTCAAAAAAACCCCAAACCAAGCAACCTTTCTGTTTGAATATGGGGCAGCTGGAGATTATGTTTGCAGCCTCTGAAAGCCCAGAATACGTATCTTTTTACTTCTTATAGCCATGCACATCAGCTAAGGGATTTTCTTAGAGACAAACAACTCTTAGCAAGTACATCAGATATGGCAGCAGAAGCTAGGGATGAGTTAACCTAGACACTCTGAATTTGCAATAAACTTCCATGAGAATTTCTTACCATTCCGAGAACAGCAGCAGCTTTACAAGTGGCTGGTATCAAATACTGTACAAGAATCTCATCTTCTGATGGATGCACCTTTCGCAATTCTGTCAATGTTGTATACATCATCTCAAACTGATTTCTTTCTGTAAATAAGTCTGATACTGCCAGAAGCTGTACACAAATTAAAATTGCATATAAAAAAGCCCATTAGCAGACAGCCAAAAATTCACTCTCCCTTCTGTTATAATTGTCAGCAAAAGATTCCTCGATCAATCTATTAAATGTGTAAACATTAACTCAAGTGTCTGGAGTAACTATTGCTGTCCAGAATTAATTCCACCATCCATCTCAGATAACGATTACCTCCAAACGGTCCTTTTTTCCAAAAGGTTTACAAAACCAAATCTGCTACAGTAAGTAATTCTGGAAAATGAACAAACACTGCCATTTACAATATACTAAAACACCCCAAAAAAACCAATACACACTCTCTTGCAAAGATAGTTTCAAGTCTTCTATGATAGTGAATAATGGCTATCAAGACACATTCCACACTTGTGTTCTTTAGTTTTGCTTCTACACTTCAACAGCCAATTTAATCCTCTAATACACTGTTGTTTCATCTTTGTTTTCTTACAGAGATAGGATAAGCAAAATCCTGAAATCTACTTTTAGCAAGTAGTCAAATAAAATACCGAGTATCATTAAGTAACAATAAAGTGTTTGTAATGTAGTAGCAGAATATGCAATCCAGATGCTTATATAGTTTAAATCACTATAGTTTTATAGTTGCTCAAGTTATATTTCTGTACTGCCCATATAATAGTACTGCCAAGAAAAAACAGTGTTTCCCATATATTAAAAGATGTTCCACAAATGCTGCTTAGCTGACTATTTAGTAACATATACTCAATTATAACTCTGAATAATAGTTTAGACTCACTGATCGCACCACTTCGCTGATCAAAATGACTGGCGTTCTCTTGCTAGGGTTTGATGGCAATATCCACTGACTATACAGTTCAAGCAAGAACTGAGAACAAGAATGTATATCTACACCAGCCCGGTGTTTCCTGCAAGGCAAAATAAGCAAGTGTTAAAATGGCTATTCTTAAGCCCTGCTAAAATGCTTGATTCGAAATACAGTTATTTACCAGCATCCAATTTACAAACCCAGCTTATTGAACTCAACGTGAAGAGATAAAAGCTTATTGATAAGTCAAAGGAGAGACAAGAAAAAATAAGACACCTGGTGTTAATAGGAGAGGTTGGTGGTGAGGAAGGAGCAGGTATGTCATTCTCATCTTCTTCATCCTCACCCCACTCTTCTTCTCTCAATGGAGTGATATTATTTCCTAACCATATGGAGTGTATAGAGACCTTGCAACACAAAAAAAAAAGTAGAAAAGCACAACATTTAACACCCTCGTAGTCAGATTAGAAAAGTCTTAGAAGCCCAATACATTTTTCATTTAAGTGACAGACAACACAGCCTCAAATAACATTTACACGAACTGCACAATCAATTTTATTTTTTTTTTTAAACCTTTAACACTTTAACTCACTTTAAACTGTATGGCACAGCAAAAACAGTAGCACCATGTTATGCAAAAATATACACACATTTATTTATTCTTCAAGCAGGATGTCTAATGCCTAGTATTGTTATAGCGTTAACAGTTTTTGTAAATAACACATAGGGTCTGTAAACCTGCAAATACTGAACGTTCAAGCCATTTAGAATCTCAAAAGAACATACAGATGCCTAGAGAGAGACAAGTGATCATTTAGTCTTCCCTGTGCAAAAGATTCCTCAAGAAAAATAACGTCATCTGAGTTTAGTATTTAAGTTTTTTCACTAAAACATACTATTCAAATAGTGAAACAAATATTAGATTTAAAACTTATATGTAACTTTATGTAAAGACTAATTTATCAAGGAGATAAATAACTGGATAAGGACTATTTTTTTTATTCACTGGATGTAGTGCTAATTTTCCAACTATCATCATCCAGTGAAATTTACGTCCCTACATTGGGTTTATTTAAAATTAAAACAACATTGCTTATTTTATGGCCAGTGATTTTTCATTTCCTAAGGACTACTGCAAGCATGCAATAGCAAATTAAAATCCAATAGTTGAAGTGGAAGCTAACACTACAAGGGCTCTCTAACACACAAGGCTGAAAAGTACAACTCAATAGCTGGCTCACAGGTACACCTCACACACACACAAGCAAAAATTCCATGAGAGGTGGGACAGCTGGCTGAGAGGAGTCACCCAGTTATGATCTACCCTGCATCACTCAGAGCTTTTAATTTACATTTGATGTTAGGCAATGCCTCTTAACTGAATTTTCACAAACTGGAAGAAATGTAATAAAAGCCAAATTCAAAGTTAAGGTTTTAGCAAACCTGTCCCAGTTTATAATCCATATCTCCTATTTCTCGTTCAGTATTGATCTGCAGTAAGAGTTTTTCATGGCTGATAAGAGCACCTATAACAAAACAGAAGACAAGTTTTTAAAACATGCATAACAAAGTAGATGTGAAAATGGCTTTGTTTCCTGCAAACTGGATTTCAAACAAATTCCTAAGAGTATCTTTTCTACTTTTTAAATGTAAAAGAAATTCACTCTCCTCTTCCCTCCACGCACAGGCACTTACCTGTAGTAGCAGGAGAAAGCGATGGAACAGGGTCCCAAGCTTGGTATAAGTGATGAGTAGCAATATTATCTCTCTTAGATACCATTGCTTGGATTTCCTGTTCAACAATTCCCCTGATAACACTTAGCTTCCTCCCAAACCTGAAAGCCCAACAGAAATCAATTTAAGCAGATTTTCCCTTTAACATTTTTGTGAAAGTCTGACTAGCTTACTCTACAATGTTATGTGTCTGCTTATTTTCATTATCAGGGATGCTAAAACTGAGAAATGTTTAGAAATACATTCTGCACACTCTTCACTAGATTTTAGTAAGATATTGTCTTTTTCAGATACTGTCTTTTAACTCAGAAGGTTTGTGATGCTAAGTCCATGTAACTTCTATGTAAACATACCCATCTGTATACACTCTTGCTTAGAGTCTATACATACTTTTGCCACAGCTAGATTAAGCAATTGTAATTATGTATTAATCACAAGTATAACTTTTATGCATTTTAGAGCAAGTAAAAAAAATACCTTGTGTCCAGAGCTTTTAAAGCTTTGTTGCGGGGCTGCTGTTCCAAACAGCTAACTGCTGGATTGCCTGCAACAGGTATTGTCATTGCACTCAGCACCAAGGAAGTTATGGCTTGTACTGCAAGAACATTAATTTGGGTCCTCTCTGTATCTTCCTGTAAAATGAACTTATTGTAATGTGAATTGTAAAAAAAGAATCCTGAAAGCCCTGAGTATCAGTTTGTCACCTCCCACTAGATTCTCATTAATAAGCCTGACATCTAGACTTCTTCCCATCCGGAAATCTAGCTGACATAAGCAATACACACAAAGCACTGACTGTAGCAGTAACACATCCTTCCATCCCATCAGCCATTCTGCATGCATCCTCTCTTATCCCAACAGCATTAAAACCTCAAGATGTCCATTTCGGAACTTTCAAAGTGTTTAGTTTCTTTGTTTTTATCTACCCATTAGTTACCTGTTGAAACAAAGCATCAAATAAGACCAAATCTGAGTTGGAAACTCTTCAGAGAAGGATCCATGTTAACTGTTTTTAGTAACTGCCTGTTTACGGAAAAACCACCTCAACCTCATCATGAATTTGCAGCAGCATTTTGCTGGGCATCATTATCCAGATGCATCTAATGTTCCTTCTAAACCAAGATGCTACACATTCAGTATTTAGCAGCACTGTAGAAGTGTGAGAAAACTAACACAACTTTCTTAAAGTATTTGGTTAGATTCAATCTATTATTCATACTTGAGGCACTGCCATTTTTCCCCCAACAGAAGGTATTTGGAATGACACACATTGCATCAAGCACTTTGCCACTGTAAATCATCACCACTGTAGTAACCTGTTTCTTTGCCTTTTAAAAAAATCTCTTAAAATAAACTTCTGGCACTGTGGGTTGTAACTCATCCTCCCTGTGTTGATGGTAGCAAGAAGCTTTGCAGTACGTTTAACTTTTTTTGCTCAGAACTGTTTATCATCAGTACTTTGAGTAAATCAGTTTTTTTACAAACTAAAATTAGAACAACAGCACAAACACTTGCAGATTCTGAAGTGGCAGGATGCTTCTCAGTTTTTGCTTTCGTTGTATAGATTCCGATTCCTTCTTGAAAGTATCAGACCACAAAGGAGTCCGAACTTTAAGAAAATTTAATATGGTAACAAATTTTAAAAACTTTTAAAAAAAAAGAATCTGTATTTTTATTTCAGAAAATATTAACATAGTGAAATTTATAATAGTGCTTAAAAAGTTTGCAATTTTGAACACATTAGTTTTCCTTGGAAAGTAAAGGAGCAGTATTACTCCTGTTCTACAAATAAACACTCTCTACATGACAAATAAGGAACTACCAATAGCTAGGTTGCCTTAAGTCTGATCCAACATGGCCATTACGTACAAAAGAGTTAAGTCAAAGATTCTGCAGGCTGCACAACAAGTGTCCAAGTCAGCCTGTCTAGCAGAAAATGCTAACCCAGGGAAGGGGGATGATGATGCCCTACTCCTTTTTGGAGTCTGACACCTAGGAAGCAAAGAAAACAAACCTCTTTGTCTGCTACCCAGGATCCACTATTCATGGGCATCTACCCTCCGAATTCTTCAAAATGCTTTAGGCTCTGCACCTAACATCAGGACCGCTCGCAATTTAGGAGTGAACGCTATACAAGACTAGGAAAAAAACCCTTTCAGGTTAAAGGGCTAGAACCTAGTAAAATCAGTTCACTAGCAGGTTAAGACATCTGAAGAGGGAAAGCCTCTTTCATGATAGCTAAGTTCACTCTCATCTTTGCTTTTGGTATAGATAAATTTCTTCAGCTCTGATCCCCAAATGCCCTCCACTGAATTTTGAACACTTACCTGAGGCATCCAAGTTAGAAGCCCAGATATCCAATATACAGTCTACAACTGGGAGTGAAAGACATGGGCATGCGTCTCCAGGTCAATTCTAGTCAAGAATCTTATAAAAATCTTACCAAAGAAACTCCCCTTGAAGTTTGATTATTAGATAGCACAGATAATTGCAGTAATACATACTAGTTACAGTTAACTAGCGTATTTCCTAAAGGCACAGTTCTCTCACACATTGTTTCGCCTGAAGTTTTTGGAATTCCTACTGTGCGTAAAGCCAAACATCTAATCAAGCAAACTTTGAACTGTGTGTGTGGTGAGTTACATGCTAACATAAAGTTGAAACAGCTTCACTAAAATTTTTCTATACTATTTACATGCTTGCAGAAGCTTTAAGCTAGAAGATGGATGTGTCTGAACTCACAGGGATATGAAGACAAGGAAATATAAAACGGAAAGAATTTCTTAAGTTTTAGTCACTACTTTTCTGCTTTACAGGTTTATTAATAGAAACATTTTTCTTAGTTTAAGTAAAATTTAATTTAAAAAGTCAGTGAATGACATTACCTCTTGCTGGTTCTCCTCTTGGTCCATTACAATAGGCTGAGTTACAAGCACACCAAGCAAAGTAGCCCAAGTCTCTTCAAACTGAGTACGGCTGATCCATCCTATGGAAACACTCAGAGATAGCCATTTATGTCTTAATACAAACTTAAACATGGAACGGCATTAAAGAATGGTACATCATTTCCATAGATTTAGTTTCGTACCATTTCCTATTCGATTTGGCATTTTTTGTAATGACTACAGCTTAAACTGTTCTATTTTAGGAAGTGATGAACCCTTTAGAAGGGTTCTGCACACTATTATTTAAATGGTCCTGTTTGGGTTGTTTCTTATATACATTTAAATATTTTGATTGTCCAACTTTCAAAGCACTGAGATCTATCAGGTTTTCACAACACAGAAAATCATCCAGAAAATGGACCAATTCTCACAGGAAAAGTAAGTCGTGGAGAATCCCGTAATGATCCAAGAAATCTTCATGCCCTAAAAGCAAAATGACTCAACTGCCTAGAAATAGGCCATTAAAATTCAAGCACTTCTCAAAGTTTTTCCAAACAGATTTTTACCTATAAAAGACTGAAAAGGATTCCTGAATAATACCTTGCAATTTATACTAATGGTATCTAAAGAATCAAAAATGAGAATGTCATCTTAGGCATTTTAGTGATCAAACAGAAATCAGTGCTACACCACAAGTCAAATATTAACCCGTAGATCAGAGGGGGGGAAAAACCCAAAAACCCAAAGAACTTCCTTAAGCATACAGAAAATTTGATGCATTACTCCTGACAGTCTCATCTGTTGACAAAGACTTGAACTCCTAAGCCCCACTGCTCTCGTTCAGTAAACCTTGACATATCCAGAAGCTTTAACGTGACAGCATCTCATTTAAAATATTGGAAGTGTGGCACTAAGCTCTATTTATATACTATGCATGAATAAAAAAAGGAGGGGAAGCAAAATATTCTCAAACATACTGTCAAGTGTATGCTCCAGAAAACAAGCGGCCATTCTGTAAGAGCATACTGAAATCACCTCCCTGAGTTGGAATAGTTTTTGGCTTTATTTCTATAACTTATAATTTTTTCTCTGCAGACGAAAATGTAAGAATTATTGCAGCACAATTACTAACATGCTCTGAAATACTATCTCTTCCACATAAACAAAAAAAGTAAACAAATGGTACCAGATTCAGTTATTCAGTAACTTCACACAGGTAAATGCTCAGTAAGAGTCAACTGTATTAATTTTTAATTTTGTACATACCAAGTGTATTAATGCGATAGATGAACTCCTTAAAGATTTCTTTTTCTTGAAGAAATTCTACTGGTATTTCAGGAAAAACTGTGCCAAAGTCACCTGCAGGCTTTGGTGACCAGCCCAATTTCCAGACCTGAAGAAATATAAAGAAAGTCTACTTATCCAAAACAGAGATAGTATTAACATGACAGCTATAAATATACATGCACCATTCAAAAGCAATGAGACATCAGTAAACTTAGAGAAAGATTAAATATCTAACACAGCTAATACACATTTTACACTGTATTTCTAATTTTGGGTGGGGTTTTTTTTGCATATTTCTCACTATGAATTAATTATTCAGTCTTACTGTCCAAGTTTGGATATGAAAGCAAATAAGTTCTGTCACATATTTCAGTTTAGAATTTAAGTGCCAGGTAATTCCTAGACTGTGCAGAAATGATGCTGAAAAGGTAATTCAGGGAAAATAGTTCACATGCTATTGATGCTGAAAAAGCACGAAGATACATCCAAGAGCAGGCAAAAAAGTCTCAGTTAAAAAAATCAGTATCTTTTGACATCCCCTCCAAAACAGAGTGCTGAGAAACAGAGAAAGGCCAGAGAAATGGCCTTGCACATATCACGAAACCCCCTTTTGCTCTACCTAATAAGCATCTAGAAAAGTTTCCAATAACAGTTTTGAAGTTTATCAAAACAAAGTCATTTCACAGTACTAACAATACATGGAGGTAATCATGAGGTGTTACATCAGCCAAAAAGGAAAGGTTGAAATACCTTATCCAAAAGATCCAAGATGAGTTAGGAGAGAATGGTAATATACAATCCAAAAGTATCTGCATGGCATACCATGGTATGGTACCACACACAAATACCTGAGTTAGTTCAGACACTACTTCAGACACCTCAGCACCATTGCATCATTGTGGTGCTTAGCATGACAAAAAATGAATTTGTCAATTCAGGCATCATAAAGAAAGTAGCAGTGTAGATTTTG